ATGAGTTTGGCGCTTCCCGAGGTCTTCCGAGGTCTCCTGAGGGCTTATAAGTGAGTGAGCCAGTGCATAAAAATCCTGCACACGAATCAGGATATTCCAGAAGTTGGTAAGTTCTCGCGTGAGCTGACCGAAGCTGAGTTTGAATTGAGTTCAAAAAGAATAAGGGACCTGGATTTTTGTAGATTTGAGCACGCTCTAGGAAACAATGAAACTCTAATTGAACATCTTTCACAAGTCCTGTACACGAATCAGGATGTTCCAGCAATAGGTGATCCTCGCGTGAGTTGACAGAAGCTGATGTTGAACTGAATTCAACAGAGAACCAGGGATCTCCACGGAAATAGTGAAGCGCAAGCTGCGTCGCTTATGAAACACTGAAACACGTCATAGAGTGGAGACACCATTCCAAAGATTGCTGAGTTTGCAGTTGAATCTAGCTTCCTAGTCAGGTTTGGAGAAAGCTAAAGGGCCTTCCTAGAAAGAGTGAATTCCCAATCGTTTTCAGACGTGCCTTAACTCGGTTTGGATACAGAAATTAAATGACTTCCGGAAAGCAAATGACAAGAATTCAGTAAATTCAGACACTTGCACAATATGGCGAGCTTCATGTTGAAGTATTTGAGTACTACTGCGGTATGTTTACCAGTCGTCGTATGCGCAAACAATGATGCAAAACGGTATTCAAAAAAGGTCACGCGCGCACCTAACGACCTGTGTGGTCTTCTGCACAATCGAACATGAAAACGCTGACAGGCGGGGCATTTTCCTTCAATGGCAGCTTTTTTTGGACGTTTCAGGATACGTCCCCTCATCAATCTACTGTCGAAAGTTGCTTGTCAAGGAAAGGGCATTGTGAGAGGGGCGGTTCAAGGCTACTGTGCCAAACGAAAACATTAACATCATGGTCAGGGCATGGGTGCTCTGAAATTCGGATGCACTCAAGCGTTGACGTTATCATGGTTTGGTCACGGATGCTCTGGTAACCGGATGCACTCGAACGTAAACGCCATTATGGTTTAGGCATCTATGCTCTGGGAAACGGATGCACTCGAACATGAAAGTGGTTGTTGGTAGCACCAAACCACAGGGACAGTGGAGTCAGCATCTAGATCTGCTGCTCACGTGCAGTGTCCTGAAGTGTCCACCGGAGAAGAAGTCTTCCACGGCTTGACGCTTGATAGACCCAAACATGAACTGCGGCTCGATGCCTCAGAGATGCTGAGCAATATGCAAAACTGGAGCTCTGCAATGCTTTGCAATGCACGGTCGAGGCACGAATCTTAAACTCTTCTCGATTCTCTCCGCGGCTCAAAGATTTGTCGAAACAGCACCTGTCCGACTCAGTCAGCCACTTTGGTTTGGCTGCACAGCAAAGCACCTGGCAACTTTTTGAAGATCTTTGAGCTGAGTTGCCAAGCACGGCCGGGACTGATGACCGCAAACTCAGTCTCAAAGGGAATCTGCACGCCTAGGTGGTTGGGACGCTGATGCTGTTTGCCAGTCGTCTTTCACACAGAAACAATGTCGCAATTCTGCCAGGGGAGGGCGCTGTACGGCAAGTTCTTCGTCGGGATCAGATAATTGGCCTTGTGCGAAAACAAACAGCGAAAAGATACAAAAAGCAAAGCCTTCTTGTCTGTGTTCCTCATAGACAACATGTATACATGCGGCTCTGCCTGATTTGTGGGGTCGACGGACGCTGCAGCACTCTCCTGATGTGAACCAGGACACGCAGCTAGTCTCGCTGCGATTACTCAGCGTCCTTGCTGATCAATATGTCCACGGTCATCGCCTTCTTCTTGACGCACGTCAACTTCACTTGCCTTAGATACGGCGGTCATGCACCTGCTCAAAGCCATGCCGTAAAGGATAATGAAGAATGTTGATCCCACTGGCCGTACATACGCGCTTTTGCAATCTCCCTCGCAGTCTTTATGGCCAAGCCACTGAGCACCTGGTACAAGTATGGGAAGCGGACCGGGCGCGTGAGATCCATCAGCAGTTTGCTCCATGGGGCAATCCTGACTCGGGGTGCTGAAAGTGCTCAGCAGAGCAACCAAGCACAGGCTGATAAGCATGCCTCGCCTTGGGGTATTGCCTCTCCATGTCAGTCAGCAGCGCCGCTGAGAAGAAGATCAAGATGCAGCGGCCAACCCATGTCTTGATAGCCTCACACGTAAAATAGATCAAAAATGTGCGAAGGTGTTCAGCTCAATCTGACCACATGGGCCAAACCCTCCCGCACAGCATAAAACACAGTCGCAGATCTTGGCCCCGTGGCATCATTTGTGCGCTTGTTGTGGCCAGGCCTTAGCATTGTGCCCGCACAGTGCAACTGCTGGCATGGTCACCCCAGCTATCACTGCTGTATTCTCAGCTGATATACTTGAATCGCTCGTCAACCTCTTCGACGCCAATGTGGAGTAGATCCTGGGCTGCACACGCTTTGTACAGTGCCCGTGGCAGCCTGGGCAAATGGGCCTTGAGCGTGCCGGACAACAGCTTGATCTGCCTCAGAGCGCTCAGCTCCGCACACGCAGGCGGACCCGCGGCAGTTGCAAGGATTGATTGCTCAAAACTGCATAAAATCTGCCCCATTTCATGGTGCCGACGAAACAAACGAACTGAACAGATCAATCAGCCCATAGCACCTCTTCCCTCCAGAAGTTGATTGAATGCATAGAAATTATGACCATGTTTGATGGACAGGTCAGCAACCATAGCGAATGGTGGTGGTGGTGGTGGTGGTGGTGGTGGTGCTGGTGCTGCTGGTGGTGCTGCTGGTGCTGGTGGTG